GCCGAACGACCGAACGCATCCCCAAGGGGTCCCGTACGTTCGGGCGTTTGGGTTCGGGCGTTCGGCCCGTCCCGAACGCCGGCCACCCTGTATATATATCGTCACAAACAGAACTGCCCGGTAAACCGTAGGCAGAGAGAGAGAGAAGAGTATATATACTTTGGCCCGGCCGGGCAAGTGACCCCGGGCCACTCTGGTAGCCTAGTTTTTTTTTGTTTTTTGCACGCCCAGGTACTCCGGGCGTCACGCCTGGGTGAAAGGCTGGGAAGGCCCGGCCGGGCATGAAAATCTTCCTAGAAAAAAAGTTAAAAAAAACACATCAAAAAAGCTATTCGGACACGAGCGGCCAGCTTGACAGAACACAGCAATAGCAATACTCAGAAACCAACAGCACATTGGTCGTCAGCAGACATACGCATGCACATGTTGACGCTTCGACACGCAAAGCAACAGCAGAGCCGAATTCTGATATAGAGAAGAATAGAGAGCATGAAGCACAGCCACACGTTCACCGCGTCAACCACCAACCCCACATGCAAGGAAATGTATACGGACCATCAAAAAAAAAAAAAAAAAATTAAAAAAGTTAAAAAAAACTTTTAAACCATACATGCAAGCAGACGTCATGCGGAGAATTCCGCACGTTTGGCGCATGAGCGGACCCGCACTGTGCAGCGCATGGAGGAAATATTCACTCGAAAAAAAAAGAAAGGGGGCCGCATGACTGGGTCAATGGTCACCTGCGTTCCCTTTAAAGATTTGTTGTGGGATGAAAAAAAAAAAAAAAAAAAAAAAACCTAGCGGGAGGGTAATGCCGCTACCTAAAGGTCAAGACTCAAGACTGATGTCCCAGACACCTTTTTGAGGCGATTTCTCATGCCCAATTGGACGGAAAGAAAAATGCGTACGACTGTACATGAAAAAGATAAGTTGGGGTAGGCATACAAGTACGTGAGGGGAGGGGAAGGGTGGGAAGGGAGACAAATCAGAAATGAAAAAGCCAGGGCACTATACACAGACTGTAAGGAACTAGGGGAGCTTGTGAGTATCAAGGGCATAGCAAAAGGTAGGCAATGGCGCATGTAATGTGAGGCAAACCATGAGGCATACGACGAACTGTAGTACGTAGCAAGAAGGGAGGCAGCAGGCAAAGTATCTGGATGTTAAGCAGACTGCGAGGGGACACTGAGATAGTACTGCTGAGTAGAAGGTAGGGATAATGATAGAGGAATGGATACTCAGCAAGAGCTTGGACACTGGCCGCCCGGTGAGGCTGCCAGGCGGCTCTCCCCCGCGCCCCGCCATTTACAGGATTCGCACGCTGCGTGTCTGGGTGCTGCCAGTAAGCTTCCCCGACAGCAAGTGCACACTGCAAATGAGCCATGATTTGGGGGGGGAACGGCCGAAGCACCCCTTCCCCCCCCAGTGTAACCGACTACAGCTGCAAGGGTGGCTGTATCTGAATCTCGGCTGATCTACTCTTTCTTTCCTTTTCCAGCTGTATCCCATGTACATTTGGCTTGCCGGTGACGAGCAACCGGACTGATGCCCCCCAGAATAGATGGGGCGGTTTTATTTTTTATTTTTTTAATAAAGAAAAGATCAGTTCCTTAGGTGTTGCACTCTTCTGTATCTACAAAAACAGCAAAAAAAAACAAAAAGGGAAACTGCAGCTGCTACGGCGCACGAGCAGGTGCCGCGCCGCACGGATGGTACGGCCGCACGGTGCGGTTGCAAGTGTGCTTAAAAAGGTTATGCTTTCTTTCCATGAGCAAGTATTCTCGACCTTCCAAAAAAATAACAAAACAAACAAACAAAAAAAAAAGTTAAAAAAACACTCACCTGTGGAGCAGGGAGAGCTGCAAACTGACTGCTCATCAGCTCTGTAGCTTCTTTAGCTTCTTCGAGAAGAGTAGCGTCCGGTTCAAGAACCGCCCTCATGTAATCCTCGACAGGGGGCACCTCTGCTTCTCCACGCAGCGCCTTATTTTCCAGAAAGCAGTAAAACCTCTGCACAGAAAAAAAAATAAAAATAAAAAAATGAAAAAACCAACGGCCGCAAAAAAATGACAAAAAGAACACAAACAAGAGTCTGAGCAAAATTCAAACTTCAACACTACCACCTCTTAGGCCCTTCTCCCCTTAAAACCCCACCACTTCCGCGCCGCGGGCAAAACAAGAAGAAGTCAGCGAGAATGCACACATCCAAACGTGTCGGGCGCTCGGGGTTGCCAGACCCCCTAACGGGTGGCGCCAGCAGGCAAAAAGCTGAGAAATCGCACCCACGCAAGATGGTTATTGTTCCGCAGTGCAGCGCTTCAGACGCTCATAAAGGAACAACCTCAGACGCAGACATGTGTGAGGCACAAGGCCTCGATAAGCCCTACTGGGCCCTATTTGCAACAGCGTCGGCCGCCCTAAGTGAAGGCAGGCTCGACAGTCGACAGACCTCAAGAGGCCTATTTTGGACTACTACGCAACTGGGGCACAAATGGTTAACAGGAACCCCCATTTTCAGGCCCTGGGTAACGAGTCCAAAACTGAAATTAGGGTTTCGGGGTCAAATTTAATGTTTTTTTTTTTGCCTGTTCTTGTTTTGGTTCAAGGTTGGTGTGTGCCAAATTTTGTGTCATTTGGAGAATTGGAATTTCCTCTGTTAAGTAGTCTGAAAATTAGGGTCTCCGTTAACCTTCTCTCACCTGGGGAAATTCAGGTAGTTGCGCAGCGCCAGTCAGTTGGAAGTACCCAGGCCCAGGCTGCCTTTCATTGCATGTAACTAAGGCAAGGCCTGTGCTGGATACACAAAGTGGACGAACAAAGGCTGAGGGCAGTTGGGTGCTTCCAGAAACAAAGAGGTGGTTTAATTTGTAAAAAAACGAACACCCGGGCAAGTTTCCAGAGAGTACCGATACAAGTCCCAGCTCCTGGGCCTTTTCGCCCCGACGGAAAAAAAGTCTGAGCACAGTGAAAGATGATAGAAAAATATACCAAAAACTTCCCGAAAAAAAAAGTATTTAATGTTTATATAATATATAATATATCGTCAAATATATATTTGATAATATGACGATATATATCGTGAAACAGTATATACAATATACCGTCCCGTCTAACAGAACTGGCCATTACACCGTAGGCAGAGAGGAAGAAGAGGATAATAAACAAGGGGTAGGTGTGAACCTGCAGTCTGTAGAGTTTTCCGCCTGGCGTGCCTCACCACTGTCGAAAACGTAACAAGTACGAGTGCATCTTCCCGCAGAGAATGGCAAGATGCATCCATTACTACGAATAGCCATGGACGCATATTACCACCTCCTGGGGAAGATGCGTTCGTTATTTTTCGTTTTGCCAGTGGTGTGGCGAGGCGCATAGTCTGCTTCAACTTTCATCATGTATCGGAGCCAGAGCCATAAGGCTCCTTTTTTTGTTAATTTAAAAAAAAAAAAAAAACCCGAGAGAATAGCAGGCCTGGCTGCTGCACGGGGGGTGGG